CGGGATCCCCAGGCCGTGCTCCACGCAGTACTGCAGAAGCTGCGGCTTCGTCCACGTCGCGGGGTCCCGCGCGTCATGGGCCATCGCAGGCGGAAAGGGCGCTCGAGGATGGCGGGTGTCGGGTCCACACACGGAAAGTCACGGCTTTGGGGGTTTTGTTCTATGGATGGGTGCGTCTTCGTGTGTAGAGGTATACACATAAATCGATATATCTCTATATATCTCTCTATATAGTGTGTGTGTATACAGTGGTTGCTTTATAGCTTCCCTGTTTTCTGATTCCTGTAAATTTTCTTTTGGGGTGGAATTCGATAGACGGTCGAAAACGGTTGTAGTCGGAGACCTATGATGGGAAGGGAGTACAGAAAGAAATCAAATAGTTGAGACTGAAAGACGGGTGGTAGTGGCAATCATTCGGATACTTCATTTTAGGTCCCTCTTTTTAGATTATCATTCCTGGTTTGGATGGTCCAAAACCCAATGCCATGCTATCTGCTATGACATCTAAAAAATTCCAATAATCCTAATAATTTCCTGAGTCTTTTGCTAATTATTCTCGATAGCAGTATATATCTTTTTATTATATATATATACATATATATATATATATATAGCGTCTTCACCCCCGATGTCGGTTTAAGGTGCACGGTAAAATTGTACACCACAGTTTCACATGTAAATTAAGGGTCATGCATGAGATTATGAAGAGACTCTATTGAAGGAGTAGTAAAGCTTCCTCCAATCTGATGTTATATAGAAAACATTGGACTTTAAGAGATGCAAGCTATGATAATTGTTAATCCGATAAAATTACATCTCTTAATCAATGTGAAAAACGAAAAAAATGAATGTTAGACATTCAGCACAATGTAGTATAACTATTTTTTTTCGTTTTTTTTTATTGGCTAGAATTAAGACGCATATATATATATATATATGTATATATGGGGAATTCTTTTGTGTTTTAATTGATTTCGTTCCGTTATTCTAAAGATAATTTTAGAACCTAAATGACCTAAAATACACCGAGACACTTACAAAATGCACCATGAGTATACGTCCTCAGACCTTAAGGTTGTGTACATCACTTTGCGGCCTAAACGTATGAAGGGATGTTGACAGCATCTGTCAGGGGTAGCGATATGATATCCACTTTATGCATTTCGGCGATGGCTACGGAAGGCTGGTTAAAAGGTAGTGGCTGTAATCAGGGGAGACCCTTGTTGCGCTTCCTTTCATGTCTACCCTTTGGCACTTGAAGTTATACCGCGTGGTTGTACAAACCTGCACCTATCACGACAATTATCAAAGAGGGTTTTTTGCCCCCCCCTCCCCTGGTGGGTAATGCCATACAGCTCGCACAGCTTTAATATAATGTGCACATCAAAATAAAATTTTGAACTTGTATTTCAATGCTGCTATACAGATGAAAATAACACGTTTTTACTCCCTCATTTTGTGTTATCTGTTTTCTTCATTAGTTTATATTCACTCACATACATTTGCTTCGCCTCTGTCAGATCCATTCCCTTCAGTTTGCTCCATGCATCCCATTTGGCGCGCCCCATGATGTCCATCAACCATGGTTTGGCAATGTTCACATTCCCCACCGTGGCCTGTTTGTATAGGGCATAGAACTTAAGCTTGGTATTGTCATCCAGCTTCGCGGCCGAAGCGGCGAAGGATTTCTGTACGGAATCAAACTCATCGCAGAGGGAGCGCATGAAAAGGGGATTATCGACGTGCCCTGGAGGATGATTCATGCCTTTGTTGGACTCGCTATTTGTGGTGTTGCGGTAGATCAGCTCGCACAGCGCCGGCAACGGGGGTTTGCCCTGCTGAAGACGGGTGTGCATCTCCTCACAGATGCCTTGAACCGTCTCCTCGAATTCCGGACATTCCCCATATATCACCGAGCTGAGGCTTTCATCGTCGTGAATCCCACGCTCGGCGTGGTTGTCGTCAGTGATGAGGAGCGATTCGGAGCTCAGACCGGTGAAGTGCCCGGGCGATAACGAGGAGCTTTTGACCCGAAGGTGGACCGTCCGGAGGTCCTGAGGGAGATTGCGAAAGAAGCCGCTCCACAGGGCGATGTAGCCGAGGAGGGCGGCCTGCGCATCGAGGAGGGCGGCCTCGTCCTCCTTCTTTGAGGGGTGTTCGTTATCTTCCCAGGCGCGCTCCGCGGCGCGGAGCACCACCTCGACGCCGGCGAAGTACAACATCGACGCTCGCGTTCTGAACTTCAGGCAAGGGGAAAAGGGGGTCTCACCGATCCAGAGTTCGGCAAAGCGCGCGGCCTCGGTGGGGGGGTCTCGGGCGATAAAGGTCCGTAGCGCCGAAGGGAGGGGCGGGGCCTCCGCGAGAAGCATCTCCACCCGCGCGCTGAGCAGCCGCAGGGC